AGATTATATGAAATTATTAGTTATTATATATGAGAGAGAAATAGATAGATATTTCTTAGCATTGCATTGTTATCAGCGCTCTCTCTCTCTCTCTCTCTCTCTCTCTCTCTCTCTCTCCTAATACTCTCTCTCACGTGAGAAAAACGGCGGTATTTTTGTAACGCACGGAAAAAGGCTATGATTGCGATGAGAGGGACGAGATATTGAGTGATAGATTGAGCTCTCGTTTCAAATCAGAGAGAGAGAGAGAGAGAGAGAGAGAGAGAGAGACTGCGAGAGCGCTGATAACAATGCAATGCTAAGAAATATCTATCTATTTCTCTTCATATATAATAACTAATAATTTCATATAATCTTATTGTTAATGACTTTTCTGTCGTCTCTCTCTCTCTCTCTCTCTCTCTCTCTCTCTCTATCTATCTATCTATCTCTGAACGCTATAATACAATACAATCTCATTATAAGTATTACTCTAAAACTATTGTTATCATCATTATTATAGACAACGGCTTATAATATAATATATAAGTAAATGAAAAGATCGGTATCTCATTGGCGCTCATCATATATATCGGGCACTAAATCGTTGGGCTATTAATACCTATCGCACAATAGCATCGGGTGCTGTGAAACAAAGGGCTACACAACATACCATACCTACCATACCATCGGCACCGGCACTGTTTGTCGCTATCAATATAACATATCAATCCGCACATCACATCAATCACCCGGCTAGTTTATAATCACATATACATTATAGCCAGTTGTTGCAGTAGTAGTGGTGGTGCCGACCCCCGGGCGCCCCCCATATTCACGATAGCGCCGTACGACCAGACAATAGATATCAGTGACAGCGAGCGACTGACCGCCCCTACGAAGCCTACCGGAGCCGCTGTGATCGACACTGTCGTCACCCTAACTGTCGGCAGAGCATCGGCTGTCACTATATCTAAACACATTGAGAGCACCGGCAGTACTACCTGTGCTAATAATAATAGCGATAATAATAATACAATGCATTGCAATCGGCGGTCATCGATGATGGATGTGTTGCCATTAGTGTTGCTATTAGTGATGGGTGTAGTCATATCGACCACATGCGGCAAATACACGGCCAGCAGCACATCCCAGGCCAACACTGGTGATAGTGGCGACACATCGCAGCCAAGCAGCACCACTGGTGCCCTACTGGCCAACGGATACTATCACCATAATAATAATGATGATGAGCAAGATCAATCCGGACACCACCCACACCATGATCGATCGGATATTAACGACAATATAGCGCACTTTGAAGCGCCGGCCGCCGCCGGGGACGGCGCCCAACAACAGTCCCTGTCGTTGATGATAGACTCGTCACAACTGTCAGCCCCGGGAGGCGGTTCACTCAGCTCAGCCTCAGCCCGTCTCAGCGCACTCCTGGCGGCTAACAATCCGTCAAACCGTTCGCCACAGTCGGCACAGCACTCGCCACCCCATCCACCGCCACCGCCGCCACCGCCACCCCCTCCGCCCCAACACCAGCGCCAACAGCCCTACGCTAATAGCAATCATTATCGCAAACATTTAGCGCATAGTAATAGTGGTAATAGTGATAGTGTTGGTAGCGCTGCTCCCAGTAGTAGTAGTAGTAGTAGTAGACATACAGGTGCTGTCAGTAGTGGAGGTAATAATAACGCATACCAGAGCGACAGCACCGCCCATAATAATCAGCCACAGCCACACCAACCCCACCACCATAACCATCATCAATTCTATCGGCCCTACTATTTGACCAGGGTGATGTTGAAGAATGCGAGTGTGACGTGCAATGACGGCACAGTTGCCGGTTATTATATACGTCAGAATTACGCGTCCAAGCGTTGGGTGGTTTTTCTGGAGGGCGGCTGGTATTGCTTTTCTGCCCTCACATGCCATCAACGGTGGCTCAAAATGCGTGGTTTGATGACCAGTGCTCACTGGCCCGAGGCTAAGACAGGTATGTGCTGTGTTGCGTCTATATTGGATTTATGTTTATTGTGGTAGTTATATGTTTAATATATTATTCTGTATATTCCAGTGGCAAATATTTAAATTATGATCAGTTTATTGTTATTAATTTTATGTTTTATGTATCATTTAAATGGCGTGAGAAACATATAAAAATATTGCATTATTTTAATTAGTAACTAATTTAATAATAATTGATGTGTTTTAAATGGTTTAATACTAATTTTAGTAGCTAGGTATTTAAAAAAAATTAGTCATATGGGAATTTGCTCCATTATTCAATAAAATCAAGTTGAGTAACAATTTATTACATAGATCGTATTATAAATGACAGTTTGAACAATCTATAATATTTTTACATTTAAAATAGTATAATTAAACTTATTATAACTCAAACAACAAACCATATAAATAATAGCAATACTTATAATAATAATTATAATTTAACCAAAAATAAATAAATATGAATTAATTAAAAACATATTTACCCTAATTTCTCACATATAGTCGGCGGTATACTATCGTCATCGCGTGACGAGAACCCGTACTACTGGAACGCATCGCACGTATACGTGCCGTACTGTTCGTCAGACATCTGGTCGGGCGATAGCGCCGCCCGAGCGCCGGGCGATCTCTCATTCCTGGGCTCACGTATTGTCGAGCAAGTGATCCGTGAGCTCCTACCCCGGGGTCTAACCGATGCCAAACTGCTAATACTAGCTGGGTCATCTGCCGGCGCTGCGGGTGTGATGATTAACCTGGATCGCATTGCCAGCCTATTGACAAGTGTGGGCTCATCGGCACAGGTGAAGGGTATCGCCGACTCGGGTTGGATAATGGATAACGAGCCGTTTGGGTCGCCCAACAGCGCGCCCACCGGTGCCGCCAATACTGGTGTCGATAATCATAATAATCATAAAATTAATAATAAGAAGCCATGCGTTGATGCTATCAATTGCGCCCCAATGGACGGCATTAGGTCTGCCTTCAAGTATGTTGTTTTATGTTGAAAATTATTTAGCAAATTATAAGCAAAATTTATAACATGGTAAAAGAATACCTTTATAGAAATAGGATTCATAACTATTAAATAATTTTTGGTTTGTTAATGTTAAGTTAACGTATAAATAATTATGAATTAAAATATTAGTTGAACTGTAATAAATTATTTAGATTATGTTTTTATTATAATATTCAATAGGTGGTTATTTTTATTGGGAATTGCGGCTGAACAGGCCTAAAATTAATAATTATTATCAAAATTATTAATTATAATAGTTTTAAACATGTAATAATTTTACATATCAGCATATAATTTAGAATATAGTAATATTAGTAACAACTGTCGCAAAATTATATATTATGTTTTAAATAATAATGATTAAATGTTGTTTATATTTCATGGGATATGGACTTAGTTTATTAAGTTTATTAAGTATCTATTAAGTTTAATAAAATATTATATTAATTTTAATATTTTTATCATCATACAGAATGTGGAACAGTCGAGTGCCGGCCGCGTGCGCCGCCCAATACACGCGCGAGCCGTGGAGGTGTCTATTCGGGTACCGGCTGTACCCAACACTGCGCACACCTCTATTTGTGTTCCAGTGGCTCTACGACGAGGCACAGATGCATTTGGACGGGGTATCGCTAACCCATTCTCAACAGCAGTTTAAATACATACACAGTTTGGGCCGACAGCTCAGGGCATCCCTCGAGAACGTGTCGGCCGTATTCAGCCCGAGTTGTATCGCACACATAGTGTTGACAAAACCCGATTGGAGGACAATCGCCATCAATGGGGTGCGACTGCCGGACGCCATCCGGTGTTGGGAGCAGACCTGTTCCGGGCCAACACAACTCACTACTCTTACCGCCGGTACTGTTGTTACTACTATTGGTGTCGTTGAGCACAATCTGCTCGCGTTTAGTCTTATGCCGGCGTCGCATATGTTTAC